CAGGGAAATTCCTACTTTTGTTAGATTGGACAAATTTCTGGTAGATTCAAATTTCTTGTCATTGTTTCCAATGCTAAATCAGAGTCTATTCCTGAGATCTTTAAATTTTTTTTTATAGGAATAGGAGGTCTCATTAAAAACCTCCCTCTTAGTGGACCTTACCCGTAAGGTAAGGCCCAACTAGCGGAAGGAGGAAAAGAGTACCTTAATTTATTAATGAAAACCAAGTTACATAAGACTTAAAAACACTTATACATACAACATAAGACCTCACACGCTCCTCTAGCTTCAAAGCTCAGAAACAGACACCAACTGCAACAGACAAAATAATCACCCGATCCCCTCTTTTGCTAGCTTGTCAGCCTCGCAATTACAAGACCTTGGAATCTACCTGACAATAAAATTTCTAAAAGAAACAATAGATACAATTTCGTTAACAAAATTTGAAAGGGGAAGAGAAACCAAAGCTTGATCTTTGATCCAATCCACAACAAGCTTGCAATCACATTCAATAATGAGTCTGCCCTTGAACAACCATTCTGAAGAAACAAAGATATCAATGCCTCTTTTTACAGCTTTCAATTATGCTAAATAGGGATGAGAAGGACCAACATTTTCTGAAAAAGAGATAAGTGTAACCCGATTCCAATCCCTGAGAAGACCCCCTATTCCAGTAACTCTCCCAACTCTACTAAAAGCCCCATCCACATTCAATTTAAAAAAATCTACTGGAGGAGGAATCCACCCGCACCCAGATCTGAGTATTTCCTTAGAAGCAGAGATACTATCTGCCAAGAAAGGATCACCAATTAAAGAATTCACCTTTTTTTTTTTGATAGAAATTGGATAGGCCTCGTTAAAGAATTCACCTTAATATAGGAAAGAGGATATTTTGCTAGAAACCATCTTGCTAGCCTTAAGCGAACAGTGAAAAACAGTGAAAGCTTGTCTATTTTACCATTATCAAAGATAATTTCATTTCTGATTCTCCAAATTGACCATAGCACTACGCCCGGAATAAACTTCCAAATAACCGAAGAAGGCCTCAAATCAGACCAAGAACCAAGTAAGGAAGGAGGGTCAAATGGAAAAGCTAGACTAATACCCCAATAACAAATTAATTTATTCCACAGCTCCCACGAAACATGACAGAACAAAAAAAGATGTTGGACTGATTCATCACATAGGTTGCACAAAGGGCAGAGAGTATTATCCCCTATAGTAACCCCATTTTCATCAATTCCATTCTAACAACTTTTTGATGAGATAGCTGCCAAAGGAAAGTCTCCACTCTAGGAGGGACTAATCCCAGCCAAACATAGTTTCTCCACTGAAATGTATCCTCATAAACTGTCTCTAGAGATTTCCTGCACTCTTTGACAGAAAACAGCCCGTCCCCCAAGCCATCCCACAGCAGGCAATCCTCCAAAGATTCAATAAGTTTAATGTCTTTAAGGCTGTTCAATAACTCAACCAACTGCAACACTTCCCAATCACATAGATTTCTCCTCGTTTTAATATTCCACTCCCATCTATTCAAGTCAAAACTACCAAAATCAGCCACGTTGCCACCTTTGTTAGTAGAAAGTGCAAAAATCCTAGGAAAAAGAATTTTTAATGGACAATCCCCAAGCCAAGTATCCTTACAAAAAGAGACAGATTTTCCATTCCCTATTTGTATTTTTGCATGAGATCTAAGGCACCCTCCAATGAAGTCATTCTTTGAGAAGTTATTGACGATTCCCCTCCAAATCCACGAGTCTTTATGAGATAGGGCCTTAGTGATATTCAAGGACTGACAAACTCACATTATGTTTACTACAAAAGAATTTCTTCCATATCGAGTCTTTCTCATTTGCAAACTTCCATACCCATTTCCCCAACAACACTCGATTGGTAAGATTCAAATCAACAACTCCTAAACCTCCACCACTCAACGGCTTACAAATCTTTTTCCAACTGACCCAATGCATTCTCTTCTTCTCGCCCCCTCCACCCCAAAGAAAATTCGACATCAAAGAATTGAACTATTGAGAAATAGTAGATGACATCTTGAAAATAGATAGGTAAAAAATGGGTAAAGATGAAAGTACCGACTTTATAAGCACCAATCTGCCAGCCATGGATAAAGATGAAGCTTTCCACCCCGCCAATTTTCTACTAAAATTCTCTATAACCGGCTCCCACAACTTCTCTGAATTCTTTTTTGCACCCAAAGGAAGGCCTAAATAAACTGTCGAGAAAGAACCAACATATCTTTATATGACCATAATGCAATTAGTCTGGAAAGTAAAGGTTTGGATTGGGGGCCGAAACCATTTAGATTGTTCAATTATTTGCTATAGGAGGAAGCGTTCAAAGAAAGAATGGTGGAGGAATTTCAGAAAGCGAGGATGGGCAGTAGAAGAAAAGGATTTCCAGTATACTAAAATGTTCTAAAGCGATAATCAAGGAGTGGACTAAATCCAGTTTTAGCAAAATGCAAGGATCCATCTCGGAATTGGAAAAATACATACATGATTCGGAACTCAACATGCAGCAAGGGTCCTCTTCTATCTCTATGGAGTCTTTGGGTATGGCTAGAAGGAAGCTTTGGGATCTATACAAAAAAGAAGAGATGGTTTGGCTGCAGAAATCACGTGTGAAATGGTGTTTGGATGGCGATCGCAACACTAGATTTTTTCATATATGTGTTGTGAATAGAGGAAGGGTGAACGCTATTAAAGCGCTGAAAGTGGGTGGTCAGTTATCGACGGATCCTGAAGTTATAAAATCAAATGTAGTAAATTTTTCAAAGAAACTTATAATAAGAATCCTACAGTTGAGGTAGAGGTACTGGATTTCAATTTCTCCAAGATTTCAGAGCATAATTCGTTTTTGGAAAGACCATTCTTACAGGAAGAAGTTTGGGATGCAATATCGTTATCGGATAGTAATAAGGCTCCAGGGCCGGATGGATTGACAACGAGATTTTTTAAAAAGTTCTGGTCAAACTTAAAAGAGGACATCTTGAGGTTTCTCAGTGACTTCTAATGTGGGAAAAAGTTGGGACAAAGGGGTAAATCACTCTTTCATTACCTTTATCCCGAAAAAGAAGAATTCGAAAAGTATTGAGAACTTTAGACTGATTAGCCTAGTGGGAGGGCTTTATAAGATTTTGTCAAAGGTGTTATCTAGGAGATTACGAAAATGTATGGATGCGGTAATTGGCCCTTCCCAATTTGCTTTCATTCCGAGAAGGCATATTATGGATTGTTCGTTTATTGTGAACGAGGGGATTGATGGTTGGAGAAGGAAAGGCCTCGAAGGAATAGTGGTTAAGGTTGACTTCAAAAGAGCTATGACTCAATTGATTGGAACTTATTACTGAAAATCATGGACTGCTTGGGGTTTGGACAGAGGTGGAGATCTTGGATGAAAATGTTCATGTCTACGACTTCAATCTCGGTCCTAGTGTCCTTCAGATGAGTTTCGGATCGTGAGGGGTCTTCAAGAGGGATGCTCTCTTTCTCCTCTCCTTTTTAATTTGGTCGGTGAATTATTGAATTTGATGTTGTCAAAAATTGCGATATTAGACTTGTTTAGAGGTTTTGAGATTGAAAGTCAAGGTAATTCCTTTGAGCTCTCTCACCTCCAATTTGCAGATGACTTATTAATTTTTTGTAATGCTTCGATCGAAGAGCTGAAGAATGTGAGAAGGGTGCTTCTGATCTTTGAGATAATGTCTGGATTGCAAATTAATCTATCCAAGGGCAGGTTATTTGGAATCAACGTGAATGAAGGGGTCATTAGTGAATGGGCTACTACAATAGGGTGCACAGTGGGCTCATTCCCAACAGATTATTTGAGGTTACCTCTTGGGGCGAAGAAAAATTCAGTATCATTATAGGACCCGATTATTCAAAAGTTCTACAAGAAATTGGCTAGGTGGAATGCAGCTTCACTGTCTATTGCTGGTAGAGTTGTGTTGATAAAATCTGTTTTTTGCTCCCTATCGATATATTTCATGTCAATTTTTAGAATGTCAATCTGTTATGAAAGAGGCTTAATTCAATTATGGCAAATTTTCTTTGGGGGATTCGGTAGCTAAAAGTAGAATTCATTGGGTAAATTGGTCTACCGCTTGCAAGCCTAAGGCTTTGGGAGGGCTTGGGGTTCCAAATTTAGAGCTTATGAACATAGCGTTATTGGGAAAATGGACGTGGAAATTTGCTAATGAGAAAAACTTCTAGTGGAAAAGGATTATTTGTTGTAATAACAAAATTGATCCGAATTCAATAGGGATGGAAAATTCGGCCTCTCACAAAGCATCTTGGATATGGAAAGGTGTCGTTAAGAATTGTTGTTCGGATGATGATTTTGGGGTATGTTTGGGAAGTAACTTTATAATGAAGGTGGGCAATGGGGACTCAATTATGTTCTGGCATGATGCTTGGCTGGATGGAGTTCCATTGAAAAGACGGTTCCCTAGATTGTTCATTCTATCGAATAACAAGGAGGGGAAGATTGTCAATTTCAGGAAATCAAACTCGTTAGGCTGTTTTTGAGACATTTCTATGAGAAGAAATCTTGCAGATTGGGAGATGTTGCAATGGAATGAACTCTTCTTGTACTTGGTATTTATGCAATAATATTTTAAGACACTCTTTTCCTCCTTTCAATGTTCGTTGAGGCACTTTTGTTGCTTGACGGATATGAAGGGGATTTTTAATGAGGACTTCCTATTTAAAAAAAAAATCAGTGTATTTTACACAAGGAATTATTTATTGATTTATTGAAGTTCGATAACAAAAACTGAATCTTCTCTTATATTTAGAACCACCAAGAAACCTTCTCAACCTCTAGTGTTCTCTCTTCATTATCATCAAATATTTGTGTGATAAAAAATGATAGGAGACGATATTTGCAAGACAAGAGATTACAACAACTAAAGGCACATTGACAATAAGAGTTTTTCAGAAAGGATAAAATGGCAGAAGACAAAGAAGCAAATGATTCACCTTTCTCGCCATCTTAGAAGAGCCTCTAGAAGAGGAACAGGAGTATGACGTGCAACCATAGCCAAGGAACCTAATACTTGCTCATAAGCAGGGTCAGAAGGTCGAAGATACTGTCCATCCTGTAAATTCAACAGAAAAAAGAACATACCTATATTGAGATAGACGCCAATCCAAAAGGGGAAATCGCAGTACATTAGTTAAAAAAATATAGACCACAAAATTCATGCATAATGGTATATTTTAGCAATAGGTTATTGCTAAAGTTTTTTTTTTATAGGAATGTAAGGCCTCGTTAAAAACCCCCTTCTTGATTAAGGAGCTTGATAATAAGCTCCTTAATCAGCGAAAGGAGGAAAAGAGTGCCTTGAATTTTATTAATAATGGAAAAATTACATAAGATACAACCATTACACCAATAACAGTACATAAATCTTAAAAACATCCCCTGGCTTAAAAGCCTTTACAATACATCAGACTTAAAAACACCCCCTGCCATAAAAACCTTCACAATAGATTAGAAAACCATGGTTGACTCCTTGCAATCAACCTATCCCACTCTTAGCTAAATTGTCTGCCTCCCCATTGCACGCTCATGGGATCCACCTCACTGAATGTACCTTACCAAATGATAAGAGTCGAAATCTGATAGACTATAGACATTAAGAAAACAGGAGCTAAACCTGGGGCCTGAATCCATTCTACTGTCGATTTACAATCATTCTCGACAATCAACCTACCCACTGCTTCCCAACGTGATGATAAAAATAAATCAATGCCTCTTTTAATAGCCTTTAACTCCACAAGTGGAGGATTTCCTTGAGCAACTTTCTCTGAAAAAGCCAACAATCTCTTAAAATACCTCCAATCCCACCACCCAAGCCATCACTCCTAACAGCTCCATCAACATTCATCTTAAGAAAATCTACTGGGGGAGGAATCCATCTTATGACATGACACTCTTTACGTTTTGATAGAGAAAACCCATCTGCTAGACATGGATTACCAATCAGCACATCCTCCTGTATCGATATCTTAGGAAGCTTGGCTAGGAACCATTTAGACAGCCTGAATCTGACAATGAAGAATAAAGACAACCTATCAAGAGAAGATAAAAATAAAAAAAATTCTGACCTGTATTGCTAGTTTCCTTGTTCCTATTGGCTGTACACTGTCTTAGTATATAAGTACATAGGCATGTATCATTGTTTAAACAGAAGTCAATAAAAATAATCTATGTTTCCACATGGTATCAGCAAAACTTGCTTCTTGGGAATTCTATTTTCATCATTTACATAAGATTTTTCATCCCCCTTTTTCTAAACAAGTTTAACCAAACTTCTACAGAATTTTAGGCAGAAGACCTCTACCAAATTGAAAGCTTCTGGATCACCTTGTCAAATAAATAGTTGGCATATTAGAAAATTCACGACCTTCATCAAGCCACAAAGCAAATCACTTGGTAACCAAAGTCAAACTGCTTCTAATTCAACATCAACTTTAAGCATGACAGTATAATGCTGAAGCTATAGAAATTTTATAACTAGTCAACCCTTTACTCAAATGAGTAGCTCCTGATCGAAACCCATCTTACTAAGCACTAAAGTATTCTATCAGCTGAAGAACTTCTTAATTAACGGTATATTATTTACAAAGCAAAATCTCTACATGTTCAAAGTTTTCCATTTACACAACAAAATCTACTTCTCTTAACCATCATTTAATATTCAAATCCACCCTAGCAGGTGTATACTCTGCTATACTCGATACAACTTCAGCTACACAGAATTTTTACGATTTATCAATATTGGACAAACTTTACTTCATTTAATTAGTTAAAAGAGGAAAAAGACTTGCAGACACTTTTTCCATGCTTAAAAACATGATATTGCTACCAACTTCAAGTAAATGAAAGGTTATAACAACAGAACAAAACTAAGAATAAATTAATAGCAAATTAGAGAACAAAACCTGAGCCTGAGCCGTTTCAATGCGGCGCCGAGCGAGAGGAAGAAACCGCTGCAGCAACGCATCCACAATGGCAGCACTTCCAGACTTCATTTCTTTCTCGCTTTCTTTTCAAATCACAAAATCCCGAAACATGGAAGCTTTAGGGCCAAAACAACGATTTATGCATAAAAAATTGAAATTGAAGATTCTTCTAGCAAAATCATGTAGGACAATTGATGCGTTCAAATTCGGAAAGAAGAAGCGGAAGTAATACCTGAAATTAGGGTTTTACTAAATCATAAGACATTGAAGCCTCGGGGAGAGAGATAGCTGAGGAAGATCCGAGTCTCGCCGGGTTTTTTTTTCCTTTTCTTTTTGCTGATCGACGATCAACGAAGATAAGTTGGCTTTGTAATGTAATCGTTATAATAGCATTAAAAATGATTATTACCGGAAAAAAGAAAATTACGAGATTAAAAAAACAATATTACAGGAATTAATAGTAGCTGTCTCTGGGTTTTTAATTGTTTTGGGTATAATATCAATTTGATGCTTCTACTTTAATAAAATATTAAATACGGTATTTGTACATTTAAAATATACAATATGATACATATCTTTAAACCAAATATTTAATATGGTACCCATATTTTTAAAAAAACGTTTGACGAGGTTCCTGTGCTTTTAAAATATCCTATATGGTACATATAATTTGTCAAAATATCTTATACGATACTTAAATTATCAGTTTGTGTATTGTTATATTACTTAAGTTAATATTATTAGTATGTGTGGTATCCTAACTATCATTTTATGTACTATTTTTGCTATTTGGGTTAATATTATTAGTAGGTGCCAAATTAGTCAATAAAAATTTATAGGTATTATAATAATACATAAAATGATAGTTTAAATATTCTGCACGAACTAAACGACCTCAACAGTTAAGATTTTGTTGTTATTCCTTGAGATTTCAGATTTGAGCACTACATATGACGGGAATATGAGCCTTCATTGTCAAAGAGGTGAAAGTCGTTGAACATATGCTACCTTTTATATTCACCCTAGATTTATCAATATATATATATATATATATATATATATATATATATTTGAGAAAAGTCGAGGCCAATCAGATTCAAAGTTGGATCCAAGCCCAAACTCTTATTAAATTTCAAGTAGCAAGATCAAAGGAGAAAAGCAAGGCGAACTATAATTATTTATGAATTATATAACAAATGTGAGTTCTCCTCTTTCTTCTTCTTTTTTTTCATTTTTTTTTTTGCTTTGGTTTTGATGGGTTCCCCAATTTTTTTTGTAGTTGCATGCTTGTATATATAATAATAGTGGCGTCCTTGAGATGAGTATTTGGTGAGGAAAACGTATGAGTTTTGCAGGTCATGGCAGAGGGTAGATGGAGGAAAATGAGGATTAGGCTTGAATTGATTTGTATTTTTAGTTTTTTTTTTATTTGATATTGTTGATGCGAGATGATGATGATGATGCGGTAGTTGGATCGGCTGCAGGATAGACTTCCTGGTGATAACGGTGATCAGAGCTCAAACAACTGACAATGACGGCACTTGGAGGTTAAGCAATTAAGGTTTCATAAAACCCTAAAATGTGCATGCTAGTGGGCCTTAATTCTTTTGGGCCGATTTGTATTTTGGGCTTGGTCTGGACTTTGTAATTTGGGTATGTAATAAAAAGTAATTATATTAATAATATTATATAAATATAATAATGACAATAAAAATACCCCGGACAAAACTGACCTCTACAAGAGGATTCAACATTACTGCCACCTCCACCCGCTTGATTTATGAATAGACTAAGGGGCTGTTTGTTTGGCTCTGAATAGAATCATTCAGTACTGAATGTTGAACCGTTCAACATTCAGATTGTTTGTTTTTCACCCCTGAATGATTCAGCACAGAAGTACATTCTGAATGATTCAGCACAGAAGTACATTCTGAATGATTCAAAGACACTATCAAATAGCATGTCACATTCAGAGCTAATTCATACAAAGCCTTTGAATCATTCAGAGCTTAATCATTATTAAGTAAACAAACAACCCCTAAATAGGGGGCATTACAACTTTAGTGAAAGGCATAATTGAGATTGATAGTTTGGAGGTTGCGATTCTTCTTCAAGATATTTCCGGAAAATTACTTTTCCGATTGGTCTCCGCGGGACGATAAGGTTGTTATTTTTAGTGTTGAAGGTTGTGTTGGCAATATCAGGCAGGTTGTGGTGGGGTTCTCCATGCTAGTAATGGTTCAATTGGAGCAGTTTTCGCGAATAATGTTCAGGTTGCTTCTCTAGACCATGTAAAGTTGGGTGCTTCCTGTTAGCGATGAAGGTTTTTGTGGAAACGGGACGTGTGGGAGTGGAAACGTTGGTGCTAAATTGGATCGAGAATTCGCTTCATCGCCCGTGGAAGTTATGGCCAGCTTGTTTGGAGATCGATTCGTTGTCGAAGCGCATTGGGAAAATCAAGTTCTCTCATTGAGAGAAACTTTAGTCGGATTGCTGCTTGACTAGCAGTGGACGGGATGTCGAGATCAAGTTTGTTCAAAGCTGTAGTTTTTTTTTCCACCGTGGGCTGTGAAATTTCTTCTTTTGTTCAGTCTTTTGTCATTGGTTCTTCTCTTTGTTTTGTGAGCTGCTAAAGCTACTAAGGAGATTGAAGATTTTCAAAGTACTTTTGTTCATATATAGGCATTCCTATGCTTTCCTGGCACCGTGCGTGTGTGCTCATTTCGTGTGGCCCGAGTCTTGGGTGAATTCCATAAGAGTATTAAAGAAGCTATGGTGTGAGTGTTTTTTTTTTTAAATTGTGCAAGGGGCTGTCTGTAGGTCTGGTATGTTGTCTGTTTTCGTTTTCGTTGGAGTTCGTTGGCTGTCGTATCTGTTTATGCTTTTGGTTCGAATGTTTTGTCTCTTGTTGGAGTATCGTTCTTCGCTGAAGTTGTAATGCCCCATATTTGGTCTATTCATAAATCAAGTTATACCAATATGATAAGTAAATACATTATTGTTGAGACATGAAAATTCTATATAAAAAAGACATGGAGTATTTATGTATCTACACTCATTGTGCTTCTATCACCAACTATAATTTGTTTTCCAGTTCCATCTTTGCCTTTTTTGCTGATTTATATATCGAAATTCGTTTTCAATGCCATCGTCTAGTCGCCGAGCCTTTTATGACTATGACCAATAAGACATCGACAAATGCGCAAATTGAAAATAATCTCTAATCACTTGAGTATTAACGATGAATATTGAAAATAATCAGTCATGAGATTGATCTCGGTCTTTGAAAACGACTTTAAAGTAACCGGATCCGGAACATAATACCTATTACAATATGTTGAAATGGAATACAATACCTTTTTTGGGGTAGGACGCAACATGAAGGAATGGTTGATCTTCCTTTTTACTTTAACCGGAACGATTCTATTGCCAATTTAATACTTGAATTTAGTCCAAAGCAAAGTTGAAACTCGAAACACATTTATTCTTTCTCCTGAACAAATTCCTCCCTCCTCGAATAATTAAAGCATATATCTCTTCCTCTTTTAAACACTTCCTATCTTGTTTAATTATGCATCCATCCATCTTTCATCTCCTTGTTTTTCAAATAATCTCATCTTTCTTTGAGATATGGAGATCAAGCTTGCTAGCCATGAACATCCAATGGATTATTGTCGGTTTGGTTACTCGGATTTTATATGGTGTGATAAATGCAGAGAACGAATCTGTGGTGCTGCTTATGCATGTGCAAGGTGCCGAGTCTGGTTGCACGAATCATGCGCCAAAGCTCTGCAACAACTACCTCGGGAGATTACACATCATCCCTACTCTCACCACCATCTTGTACTAGATTGGTCTGGTAATGGCGGAAAATTCACCTGCGATTTATGCCTGCAAGTTTCTCTCGGCACCAACTATGGCTGCTGTCGGTGCGATTTCGTGGTCGATCTAGCATGCGCCTTTGCAGGTGGTGATGATCATCGGACGAGGAAGAGATCTGATGCGGCGAGGGAGCACGAGAGGATTCAACATTACTGCCACCGTCACCCGCTGATCTTGTACAAGTTTAGCAGTACTGCAGGTGAAATTGACTGTAATTGTAGTTGGTGTGACAAGCCTTTAACTGACGTTGTTTATGGTTGTAAAGGATGCAGTTTCTTCCTCCATGAATTATGTACTAATAAGATACCGAAAACCTTGAACCACTCTTTCCATCCATCACACCCTCTTCGCTTGGGTTTTCATGACTATGTCATAAAAGAACTGTATTGCAACGCATGTAGAAAAGAGGTTGCAGGCAGAAAATTCAACGACACAGCCATCTATGGTTGCCAAGAATGCAGGTTCTACCTTGATATCGGCTGTGCAAAGCTCTTACCAACCCTTAAACATGAGTGCCACACCCACAGCCTCACTTATTTTGGTCACACTCTCATGAAGCATTTGGACTATTCCAGATGCCGCTCCTGCCGTAAGCTAATTTTTTCTAAGACCAGCAGATCACTGTATCGTTGTGTGGAATGCAACCTCAGTTTTCATCTCAAATGTGTTCCGGTTCCACCTTTAGCTGAAAACAGGTATCACAGGCATCCCCTCATCCTATCTAAACCGATTAGAGAAGATGAGGTTGGAGAGTATTTATGTGATATTTGCGAGACAGAACGAGATCCCACACATGAAGTTTATTATTGCGAGGAATGCAAGTTTATAGCTCATATTGAATGCACGCTCAATCGGGTCAGTCACTGTCGTTAGTAACAATTATTTTCACTTTAATTTGCTCTTATTTTATTGCCTGTTTTTTAATAATGATGAATTTACATACATTAGGCGGAAGCTTCACTTAAACCGGACTCATCTTCAACTTCCATATTCATGGATGATAAAGTTTCAGAGTTGAAGGAAATGGAGCAGACTGAAACGTCCCTGGTAAGCGACAAACTACCTTATCAACAATATAATCATTTATCATTGCTATGATGTTGCCTTTGCGTTAACATGATGAGTTAATAAGTCTGTTCATTCTTTATTTACAAGTACAGATCCGACTTTCTCTCCATGTACATCCATTGAAATTCTTTGAGGCAACTGATGAAATCTTGAAGCATAGGCGTCGCACTTGCACAGCTTGCCTTTTAGATGTTAGTGGTGCGGGATACTTCTGTGAAGAATGCCTAGGGGACTGGGGTGAAGTTTTTCTACATGAAGATTGTGCTAAATTAGCTGATGAGATACAACACCCTCTTCATCCTCAACATACACTAATCCTCTCTGCTAGAGCTAATCAGGGTCTTATTTTATGCGATGAGTGTCAAGAAATTTCTTTAAGCTTTGGTTATCGTTGCAAG